ATGTCTACTCATCACCACCACCACCACCACCACGACGTTCACCATCACCACCACCACCATATGTCTACTCATCATCGCCACCTCCTTCACCGGTACCGCCACCATACGCACACTCATCACCACCACCTTCACCGTCACCACCGCCACCGAATGTCTACTCATCACCACCACCACCACCACCACGACGTTCACCATCACCACCGGCACCATATGTCTACTCATCACCGCCACCTCCTTCACCGACACCGCCATCATACGCACACTCATCACCGCCACCTTCTCCATCACCACCACCTCCCAACTGCTCACCGCCACCAACATTTCCGCCACCACCACCGCCACACAAAAACACATCAAAACCACCACCATACGAGAACATACCGTTACCTCCAATAATGGGTGTGCCCTACGCATCCCCACCACCCCCTCTCATTCCATACTACTGAAGATCGAGTGACAAGCTAATTTTGTCGATGATTCGTGGTTTCCGATTTTGAGGGCTTCTGCAAACTAGTAGTAGTATACAATAGTTTTCTTTTTTTATTTTTTATTTTATTTTGTCATCAATTGATTGTTTTATCGGCTTCTTTCTTGATTTCATCTTTGTTGTCCATAATGTATTTGAGATCTGCGTAAGTTCACTATATATGTAAAGGTATCCTATTGGGAAGGTTGACAACCATCATTCTTTCATTTTATATAATGTATTTATTTTGTAAATTCTATAGTTCAAACAAATTCTGCACCCACATGAATATGATCCATGCTTCCTCATCTCCTATATGTAAGAGATATCTACTCGGATTATCTCAATCACTTTCTTTGTAGCAATCCATAATGAATCGAAAGTATTGTTGGAAAATGTACATATATGTCCTAGACACTAGTTACAAGGCAAAATTTTAAAATTGGTCCTATAAGTTGACCACTATTATCTAATTTTGCACCCCGTCATTGATCACTTTCAACTTGGTTCTATAATTTGTCAATTTCATCAATTTTAATCATTTTTTATTCGCATCCTGGATAAAAATATGACGTGGCGCTCAGTCAGATCCATTTATGATTTTTCAACATGATGTGGCATCTTCACTGCCAAATAAAAATAACACCTAGATTAAATTAAAAAAAAAAAACCCAAAATTAGATTATGCCAAATGGAAATAAGCAAAAAATTAAAAGAATAAAAAATAAAACCAAAGTGTAATTTTTTTGTTTTAAAAAAAGAAAAGAAAAAAAAAACTCCAATCGCTCGTGCTGGCGAAAAGGTTGGAGAAAAAATTAACACAAAGAATGATAAATCTCCAACTACATCTCCACGCACATCTCCAACCACTCTTTTATATTGAATTATTTTTTTTTTATTTTTTTTTAATTTTCCTCTTGAGTGTAACAGACCTAGCACAAGGTGTAACAGTCTTGGTGGGTGTCGGTGTATTTGCCGAAAAAAGGGTTGCGGTAAAAAGTCGTTGTTTCCAGACATGGACGTCGTTGGGTGCGCGGCGGCGTGAGGAGTCCGAAAGTGTCATTAGATTCGCTGAGTCGCTGTGAATCACCATAAAATTAAAGGAGAAGACCGGAATTTTGTAGATTTAAAAATTTTGACTGGAGCAATTGACGGAGTTATCGGTGAAATTTTTGCCTGAAATTTTAGAAGGTGAACGAGGACTTGAAGAGCTTCAAGATGATGTAAAAAAAATTCCCATTGAAGATGGTCGGCCGGCGAACGACGATAGAGGCGGCCGACGGAGGGGGATTGGCTGAAATAGGGTTAAGGATTGTAGGGGATTATTTGGGAAAATTTATTTGATTTTGAAGTTAAAGTTTCCTAATCTCGACAAATAAACAATAATCACGTCATGTCATATTTAATCACGCCACGTCACATTTTTATCCAGGACGAAGATAAAAAGAGATCAAAATTAATTAAATTATTAAATTATTAGACTCAAATTGAAAGGACGGGGTGGAAAATTGGGCAGTAGCCAAATTATAAGACCAATTTAAAATTTTGTCCTAGTTTTAAGGATACTAGGGGCGTGATTGTTTATAATTTGTACAGTAAATATTCCACTCAAAACTCAAATTTAACTCAACTCCACTATCTCCAATATTATCAATATAATTAAACAATATCAAACAATACATCAACTTTAATTCACTATTCACTCACTCACATAATTTTAACTAACCATCACTTTCAATCATTTTCTCCTACTTTTACATCAAATCAACTTTAATTATTTTAATTTCAATATTATTTTAATATATCCACTAACAACTAACCATACTACTTTTTTTCAAACTTAACTATAGTTAAAAAAAAGTAGTTTTTTACTAGTTGAATTCATATCCAATCACTCCCTATATAACTTAACTAATCATTCGATTGTTATCAATTAATTATTGGATTTATCCATTGAATTAATGCAACCATTAATAGAGTGAGATGTTCATTAATAAACAGTTTTGCTATGGAGCCAGGCTCGACTTATGAAGTCATCCACACTTATTCACCAATAGTGTATTGACACATGTCCTACAATAAATACAATTTAGACAGGTGTCAATACATTAAGTGGTGGATGGCTCCATAAAAAAACCATCCGATGGCTCCATAGAATTTTTGCATTGCAGTAACAAAATTCTTATGCATCAATTGCTAAGCTATATCTATATCTATATAAAGAGCCAACCTATTTACCAAAAATAGTAACAAGAAAAGTCAACCAGCATTTATTGCATTCTATTTTTGAAGTTTTTGAATTTTTTTTAAAATTATTCCCAAAAAAAATTATTCCCAACTAATTATTCCCAAATAATGTTGTGTACAAGGATGTGTTTAATAATATATAAGTAACATATTATTTTATTAAGACAAGCATTTTACGTTATTCCGATCATCCAAATCTATATGTTTACCTTAATAAAACTAGCCCGTGCATCGCACGGGTACCGCACTAGTAATTAAGAAAGTGATGACTGATGGTATTAATGATATTCGACATATTGACATGTGAAGTATATAAAAAAAATATATTAATCTTGTAGAATATAATATATTTTACGGCTATAAATAATAATATTTGTAATACACATGCGTACTTTAGAGAATATTACTGAAAAATAATTTGTTATAACTATGAATACATTATTTATGCGTGGAAGTATTGATGTTGGGAATCGTGTAATAGTTATTTGATTTGATATTAATACACATTTCTTGCATATTAAAATTTGTGTTGGATTGATTATGTTGGAAATTTGGCCCAGTCCAATTACCTATCTCGGGCCCAAGGACATCTCGGCCCAATCCCCGTCTGGGTCTGGCCCTCACACTCACTTATTGGCAGGACTAATATGGACCGTTGGATTTAGGGATTAAATCCCAACCATCCTTTTGGTCCATATATATATATATCCTCTCCTCTCTCATTTGCCCTAACCTAATCTCACTCTACTCTCCTTTTACGCTGCTGCGCCCTTTCTCTCTCTGTGAGTGAAAAATCCCGATCTCTCTATATTCTCTCACCATCTGTTCTTCGTGACCTCCCTTGTGAGAGCCATTGTGAGTGACGCCGTGTGAGCCACCGGAGTGCCGCCGCTGAGCCACCGTTGTCGCCTCCTCCTCTCTTCGATCACAGGCCCTTTGTGGTGCCTCGGGTGATTCCGTGTGTGGTGGAGAGGGCTTGGCGACGGGGCTGGGCTGAGGTTTGGCGTGTGTGTGACGTGCAGCCCGGGGAACGGGCCGAGGAACCGGGGCCACCATTCTTTGACCACAACCGAGCCGCGACTTACCGAGGGTGCCGGAAAGAAGGATGATCTGAGCCGGGAGAGACGACTTCGTGTCCCTCTTCTCCAGTCGTCGGTCAAAGGGAGTCTTTCGTTCCTTTTTTCTTTCATTTACTTATTTTTCAGCTATTACTCTTGATTTGTTCTTGTTAAAGTTGCTGAAATTAATACCTGTAATCACCATTACTTTGTGTGTTTGCTTTCAGGTTGATTCGGGCTAAAATCGGGCTGTGAAAGAAGGAGCTGGGATCAGCCCGGAGCAAACGAAGGTTGTCCGGGTGGCCTGTGACACGAGCGACACCTCTGTCGGGCTCGAGAAGGCGTGTTGCGGTCAGACGAGCCAAAACATGAAGCTTCCGCTGCCAATGAGTCGATCAGTGGAATCGAGACGACCACATAACAGATTACAATATACATAGAGTTGGTAGTTGAACAAAAATTAGTATTTATTACTCTGAGTACAGTCTTGAGATAATGTTTGTTTTTTCTATGTTGAATTAATAAAGTTATTATCCAATGTATACCATTATCTTTGAAATAGTATTCAAATATATATAATCAATTTAAACTAATACGTACGATGAGATAAAATGATTAGGATTTTGATAGCCACAAGTACTAAGCTTGATTGAATGTTTGGAGATTAAATGGATCATATTACTGTTGAATACAACAACACAGAAATTTTGTTTGTTTTTTAGTAATTGTATTTCATATTTTAAGTTCCACCGTTGTAAGTTTGCTAAGGATCATATTTTGGGGAAATGCTATGATCCCGTTATGTTATCATCCTGTCGGGTGTTTTAACCGTTGGTCATCTATCTTATATGAACTACATGTGTATTCAACGGTTAGAACTCCCGATGGGATGGTACGGTAACGGGACCATAGCATTTCCCCATATTTTGAGGGCGAGATGAATTTCCGAAACAAAAATATGAAGTAAACAGACGTGAGAAAAAAATAAATAAATAATAGAGAAAATTACTCCGTCCACCAACAATATTACTTTTATTTGCACATATATTAACATTATTTTTTATTTATAATTATACCTATAACCTAATTTTTATTTGTACTTATCCAATTCCCTAATTAAATACTACTCGAACTATGAATGAAAAAAAAAAAAGTTGCCTGCCTTCTCCCTTGAGAATATCCAGAACTTCTCCATCTTCGACTAATTCCTCTCTGCCTCCACTCGTCTAATTCTTCTCCGCCTCCACCATCTCACATCAGCAATGGCGAAATTGGGCGAAGGCGACAAACGGCGGATCATAGAAGACCGCATCGATGGGAACTCAGTGGTTCTGCCACCGACGGAACCGATTGCCTCGAGTGGCCAAGGATTCCGATGGAAACTCAGTGGTTATGTCCACTGACGGCTCCATTTAGGTGTCCTATATTTCCGACGAGAACACAAGTGGAGATCCCGAAATTCGAATCACAATCAAAGATGACGGGCCGATCGATAAAAGATTTAAGGAAACGTTTATCTCTAAGGGGGGTTTGTCTTTGAAAAACTCAAG